TCATATTATAACATCGACTGAGATAAAGAATAAAATGAAATATTAAAAACACGATGTATCTCGCTGCATTGCGCGAGTACTCTTCTAGTCAATTTATTATAAGTTAGAAGAGTTTAACTTCTTCAAAAACTCTTTATTATCGGTTTGACACCGGTATAAGTTGTTTATTCAAAGGCTCATAAGTGTTTATTATCGGTGTCACACCGGAATAAGTCAGTAAGTTGTTTTTATAAGCAATCCCAAACACCCCCTTGGACATAAAAACAAGATAATGAATGAGAATTTCATTTGCTAAAACTAATGTAAGGACCGAAGTGATGACTCTTATCTAGAGTGATAGATTGTTATCTGGTTAGTGTTTATTGGATAAATTGTTGTATATGTTGTCGTTTTGATCAATTAAAAACTTACCCAGTCAAATAAGTGAGACTGATGATTCTTACTACTAAGGTGCGTTTGATGTCCAGACATGATTGAACATAACAGGACATGCTAGAATAGTTGTTCAACATTTGGTAAGACAAAATTGGACAGAACAGAAAACAATCAATTTACCTCTAATGAGTTGTTTATATCTTTTTATTAATTTATATAATCTATGTAATTATAATAAAATAATTATTTTTTATAACAAAATATTATTTGAAAGTTCTCGTTAAGACAATTAAAATGACACCACGATAAAAGTTATCGTATAAAAATAATATTTTGAGAACAACAAAATTAATGTTTAAATAAATAGAATTTAAAAAATGATTAAAATGTAAAAAGAAGATTTATTTGATGTTTTAAAAAAAAATTATATTTTAAGATTATATTGATAAAATATAAGTTTTTTCCACCTTGTGCCACCTTATTCCATGGGGGTAGGGTGGTACAGGCATATTCCACTTTGTCCGCTCAGTTCACGTTTGTTCCACATAAAAGTCTTGTCAAACATGAAAGAACGATCTATCTTCTATTATTTCATGTCATATCCAATGTATCAAACTCACTCTAAACGTTTACTGGGTAAACATTTAGGTAAATTGTCCCTTAATTACAAACTAAATGCATCAGGTTTCATGAAAATTACTAAAAATGTTCCTAAACCCACATTTTTTTCACTGTACAAGGTGGATTGAACATGTAAGAGAGACTTGCAATTCCAAGGTCTTTGAGTCATCGTCCATAGAAAAAGTCACATACGCAAAGAAAAATGATGAGTTGAAACCACACTTGCAAGATAGCAACTAAAACACCTAATACATAATTATATGAGCATGTTATCATGAAACCATATTGTATTCAATAAGCTTTTAGCTCAAGTGTCGATTGTCAATAGACGATCCGAATGAAGAAGATGAGACTATGTTTCACCTTGTTTATTAGCAGCTTAATAAGCCCAATGGGACATAGGCACACAACTTATACGGTTGAACTACATGATTGTTTGATAGCGATTTAATGATATAGAAAATAGTTTATTTAGTAATCTTCTAATTAAGAGTTTTATGTAGAAAAATCAAGTTTTTCCATACATTTCCCCATCAAAAAACATGTTAATTCCATCTATACAGATATATTAATCCACACAAACAACTTTATTCATATAAGACTTAATAGAAGCAAAATTATCCATCCAAACAAAAACTTTCTCAATCTACACAGACAACTTTATTCACACATAACTAATGAAAAACCAACCAAACGACCTATATGTTGTGGATTTGAATTCAGCCTTAATGACAACTGGAGAGGGTAACCCAGCTGCAACAAGTGCATCTATTATCACATGAAGTCATAGTTATGTGCATTGCCCCGAGATTTCCAACCAATTCTTGAGTCCTAACAACCTGCTGAAAAATAAATGAGGGTATTTTTTTTTATCAAAAACATCCTTTCTTTCCTTTCTATCCAGTCCAAGAACATGATACTTTGCTAGATCCGTCTTCAACTCAACAACATATTCTGCTAAAAAGCTTAGACCATCTTTTACCAAATCTAGTTCAAGTTGAGAGTACCCTTGAGATTTTGAAGGTTTTGTGGGTCACTTCCTTGGTTAGAAATCTAAGCTGATTTCAATTGAGCAATCTTTGAATTGAATTATTTGAAGTATGAGCTGGAAAGGAATTCAATAGGGCCCGACTGAGTTCATAAAGTTGCTTTCATTTGATTCAACTCTGAAATAGTAAAACTCTGAATTCTTTCAAATGTTTGCAGTTTTGAGTGTACATTTGCAATATCCTTCTTATACCCTTAAGACTTATAGTCAAGCTTTTTTAGATAAAGCTTGAAAAACTTCAGAATTTGTCATGTCATATGAAGTCTGGTTGTGTTGCTGAGAAGTCTGAGTGGCTGTGGTGGAACTCTGAATGGCCTTTAGATAAGAAATCTAGTTATGAATCTTTGCAAATTCATATTTACATGAATCACTAAAGGCTTTGAATTCAGCCTTAAATGCATATGTTATCACACATGAAGTCATAGTTATGTGCACCCCACAAGGATTTCCAACCAATTCTTGAGTCTTTAACAACCTGCTAAAAAATAAATGAGGGTATTTTTATGAAAAACATATTTTCCTTCATTTTTCTTCTGTCCAAGAACATGAAAAATTATTTTCTTTCTCTCTATTTCGTTCTTTTCCTTCCCTCTCAATAGTACAAATTAAAGAATTCCTTTATTCACTTTCTTTTTAATCCCTTTTTTTTTCTCAAATTCAAGAACATAACTTATGCTTTATTCCTAAATAAAACATATGACTTGATATATAACTAATAAAAACATGCGTCTATCCTCAATTGTTGAAGGCTATTTTTCAATGGTGGGGTTGGAGCCTAACCTCAATTGTTAGAATTTCTTTCTTGCAGACTCTCTATCTATATTGGACTCACAATATATTATTTGGAAGATGATTGTTTGTTATATAATAAGAAATCACGTCGCAAATGACTTTTCAAAGCAAACGTGTTCAAAATATTGACTTTTTTCTCGAAGTTTGACTTCTATCATTTCGAGTCACACATACACCCTGGTACATGTTCGTCGACGCTGAAGGCATCTCGAAGCGCGGTTGTGACATTTCTAATTGACAATGGATTTCAAGGTGCATTAAGAACCTTACCATTTTGTGTCCCGCGTGTTGTGGAGAGAAATTCTTTGATAGCTACTTTTGGGGGGTTGGTTTCTTCTTCATACTTGTATTTAGCTTTGATCTCGAGTGTTTTTATTGGAGTAATACAAAGTGGAGTGACTTTATCCAAATACAAGATATGTCCTAGGTTTGATCCCAACCCCTAGCTAGTCTTAGCCGTTAAGTGATCCAAAAAATCCTCTTTATATCGGTGTCATTAGAGGCGGGTCCGTGTGGAGCCGGTTTGAATTATAAGTAATCAACTTTTTGTCCAAATGATACAAAGTGGAGACCAAATGGATCGAATTGAACAACAAAGTAAAAGATGAGGGTAAAAGTGAAATTTGGTGATAGTATGGGGGTAGGGGACCGTATCATTTGACTTTAGACGACTCTAAAAAAGGTGGTGGGACAATGATTTCCACAGTTCCATTACAGGAAGGTTCGCAGGCAGCCACAATCTCTCTACCTCTCTCTCAGCTTGAATTTTCATCTGGTTTTCTCTTTGATTTGGTGTTCATTTCTCTTACGCTTTCGCTTTTTGAGAATATCTGAGGAAGATTTGGTGTTTTTCGAGAGATTTTGGAAGAATGTTACTCGCGCAAGAGACGTAATAGATTTTGTAGTTCTGGATTTTCGTATCAGGTAATTTCATTTGTGTTTTTAATCCTCCTTAAGAAATTCCAGGCAAGAGAATTGAAGAAATGGATATCATCGTCAGATTATATACTTGGCTAAGCTTTTTATGCTAATTTCGTTTCTCAATTCTGTTTTTTGCAACAATATCGGTGCTACTTTTTGCGTTGGTGAAGTAGTAGGGTTGGATGAAAAGTTTGAGTTAGCAGTCGGCGTTTTCTAAATGCAACTTGATTTTTCAGCGATTGTCGTCCCTTTCGGTGTTTCTTTTTGGTTGTCAATATAAGAACTTGCGGATTTGATAAATTCAAAGGGAAAACATCTCTAAACATGACCGTAAGATACGATAAAGCAACGGAAAGACTATGTATGAAGATATCCCTCCCCAACCATTTTTAAAGATGATGATCCTTGTGCATCAGGTTGCACTTTTCAGATACATGCTTATGATAAAAAAAATAATGATACATAATTCATAAGCTTGTGGTTATCTTTGAACTATAAGTTCATTTCAAATATACCCAATGTTATGACTAATGAGCTCAATCCTTTACTTAAAAGATCAATTTTCTTTTAGCACCAAGACATCAGTCTCCACATATTGAGCAGAGCAATGAGTCTTACAATTGAGATTCCATGGCATTGCATGTTTTTTGGTGTATATGAAGTGTCTAGAGTTTTACATGCAAAAGAGTTTTAGTTTAAAATCCATGAGTATTGGATACAGATATGTGAAATATCATGGTCTGACTTTTATCTGATATATGTATGTATGTATGTATGTACGTATGTATATATATACCTATGTTGTTCTAATATCAGGTTGTTGTTTTTATGCGAGCCCATCCAAAGGAATGGTGCTTGTCAATGCACTATCCCTCACAGAAAAAGGGGAGGGGATTTTATGTGGGATTGTGCTTCCTCAAGTACCATACGGGTGGATCACAAAAAATCCTTTCCCCATTTTAATATGTTGTATTTATTTTCTTTTGTATAAATGTGTATTTTTTATAACTTCAGTTTCGTTCCTACATCTCGTAAATTGTGACTAATCCAAGTGTGCATAATTGATTGACAATTTTGAAGAGAACTTGACAAAAATTCTGAATCGTAATACCTGTAGTGAGTCTGTGTGTAAGAGAATGAGAGTAAAAGGAAGCTTAACAGAGAAATTGTTAAGGCTTCCTGATCTTAAGACATCCCTGTGAAGGTAGGCATATGCTTAATCCCAACTTTTGCAAGCTTGCTATGTGTATGAGTTGAGTCAAAACAAAAACTAGCTGGATTGGTTTGTTTTCTTTAAGCTAAGAAGAACCCTGGGTAGAGGCGAGTTTATTAGCTCTAGTTATGAAAGTTTTGGAGATGGCCGAAATCGAGAATCTTGCCAGCCATCCAATAAATTGATCTGATAGATTTAGCTTCTCTTTGAGGTCCATAATCAATTTGTTGGGTTTGACAGGTGCATGGGTCATCACCTGCTGATGACTCTGATCAAGAGAGGATTTGGCATGTACTCTTGAGTTTCAACTTTCACAGATGGTGACAACTTCGATGATGATGGGTTTCTTTTAAGCAAATAAACCATATCTCTTTACTTGTCACCAAAATCCTAAAAGAAGACATGAGAAGGGTTTACAGGCTCAACTGCAAGTGATATAGAGAGGAGAAAAGTGGAATTGAGAGCTCATTGATGGAGTTCTTTGATCCAGAGGGGAGGTTTATTCTGCAGTGGAACAAAACTTTTTTGTTATTTTCTGTGGTAGCACTGTCCTTGGATCCTTTGTTTTTCTATATTCCTGTAGTTGATGGCACCCAAAAGTGCCTTGATGTGGACCGCAAGTTGGAGGTTGTTTTGTGTGTTCTTCGTTCTTTTGCCGACATGTTATATGTATTTCACATCATTATCCAGTTTCGAACTGCGTATGTTCCTCGTTATAATCATATCCTTGGAAAGAGATTGTTCATAGATGAACCTCATTATGTGGCAAGACGTTACCTAAAATCGTACTTCGTCATTGATGTGTTAGCATCCTTTCCCCTTCCACAGGTATGTCTAGTTTTTTTTGTTATAATCCTTTCAATATCTCTCTGCAGATCTTGGGATTTACCAATTACCACAATATATTCCTTATGTCTTGGTTTGATATCGAAAACATGTAAATAAGATATCACTGAATGGATTTGAGTCTCAGTGGTATATCTGGACATACAAATCCATCAAAGGGTATTAACGAATATACTTTCAGTCTTTTCATTTATGTAGATATTGTTGGCTTATAATGTGGAAAAGTAGGATCAAATTTTCCCATTTATTTCTAAAAATAAAATCTTGATTCGCGTGTGCAGTTGGCAGTTTTGGTAATCATCCCCAACTTAGATGGTCCATCTTCATTACTGACGAAAAACCTTTTGAAGTTCATTATCTTTTGTCAATTTGTCCCTCGAGTTATTCGGCTTTCTTTGTTCTATCGGAAGGTGACAAAAATTTCTGGCTTCCTCACTGAAAAAGCATGGGCCGGAGCTGCTTTTAACTTTTTTCTCTATGTGCTAGCTAGCCATGTAAGAACTATTTCATGTATTCCTAACCATATTACAAGTATATATATATATATATATATAGAGGGTGGATCGTTTGCAAACCACCCTATTAGTACAAATCATAGAAACCAATTAATTGAGATGTTTATAGAAATGATGAGAGTTTATTTATTATGATTTGGATATTTATGGAATATTATCCGAGTTCATTTATGGTCAACGTTTATATTAGGAAAGAATGAGATATTCATTGAATCAAATATTCATTACACTAGAAGAATAGTTGAGATTGGTTTGTATGGTTTGTACTAATGGTTGGTTTTGTAAAAAGACACCCTCTCTCTCTCTCTCTCTCTCTATATATATATATATATATATAAGGGGTGGGTTCAAACAAGAGGCAGTCAACTTGCGGGAGGGCCAAATCGCATGTGATTTCGTCACGTCTAGAAGGTTGCACTAACCAGCCACTGCAAGGGTGAGTTTTCATGGACCAGTCACCCCCGAGTCCATCTGGTTGTGTTATAAATCACATGTGATTTACAATAGAAGCACATGTGATTCGCCCCTTCTCGCACTTCTCGTAAGTTGACCCCCTTCTCGTTTGATCCTCCTCCTCTCTCTCTACATGATATATATATATATATATATATATTATATTCCATGAAGTGTATTTGGGAAATTTCCTTTACTCTAGATAAATGTTCCATATTTTCATTTCAATTTCTATGGACAAACTATAAGTTTCATACAAAGTTGATCGGAACAAATAAATTGCAATGTTGAATATTTACCCATGAGGCCATGACTAGGAATTCTATTGAGGATTGGAAGTTATTAGCCATGGAAGCATTAAGTGATTATAAATCTTACTGAAGTTGAAAGATAAATCAAAAGTTAGGGCCACCAATAGACATGTGCGTAGATTGAGTTGTGGATACTGTAGTTGATATTGTGATCACCAAATATGGAGAATTCCGTGGTAGATCTTTGAGTGCATCAATAACTGGGAGGCGAGGCTTGTACCAAGAGAAAGCAGTAGGAGATGTAGGTTTGGCTAGATACGTATGTGAGGAAGTTTCAAAAGTTGTAGTAAGCGATAAATGTATATATTGGACTTGATAGAAGTTCAACCATATGGTGGATTTTATATTTGCTTTTCAAATCCCAAGATTGGTTCATCTAATTGTAATTTCTGATAGTTCCATTTTCCACCTGTCCCAATTATTTTGAAACAGAAGTGTTGCTATTGTTGTTATAGTTATTATGGGTGTGTGACTTTGAGGACTTCCTTATTTTGAAAAAAAATATTGAAACAGTGTTTTCACCAGCTGTTTTAGTTGTGAGCAGAAGTGGAACTTTACATGTGTTCCACCTTACAGGGTGCGGAAAAGTTGAGAGCTGGCATCAAGCTGGTCTCTACACAATCTATCTACACCACAGTACCCTATATCTATATCACTTAAGCTACACGAATGTCACATGCTAGCGTAAGGATCCAACTTATATTGTTCGAAGCAAGAATAAGCACAACTAGAAGACATATCAATAATAACTCATAAAAGACGGCTGTGAACACAAACATTGCAAAAGATGTAGCACTTAATACACTGCTTTTTTTAAACAAACCACTGATGCTTTAATGGTAAAAGTTCTTCAAAATAAACGCAGATATTGGAGGTCTTTAGAAACCAGATAAACCCTTGGAATAAGACAATCTGTATGAGAACTGGTGAAGCTTCAAGAGTTAGTATATCAAAGATTTTATGCTCATTCATGACAGAATGGTGGTAAAAGTATTATGACTGAATCGTGATAAATGTATCTATATTGATATACTGCTAATGGTAAGAAAGAATTTTTGTGGACAGGTAGTTGGAGCCCTTTGGTACTTGTTTGCAATAGAAAGCGAGCTCAGATGCTGGAATATTGCATGTCAAAGGCATAACTATGACTCCAAGTATTTATATTGTGGAGAAGGCCGTGTGGGAGATTTTGGGTTCCTGAAAAGTTCATGCCCTCTTCTTGAACGGAATGAAATTAAGGATTCAGCAAACTTTGATTTTGGCTTATTCCTTGACGCTCTTCAAACTCGTGTGTTAGAAACAAGCGACTTCCGCCAGAAATTTTTGTATTGTTCATGGTGGGGTTTGCAGAGTCTAAGGTTAGTAATCACTAGATATCCTACTCTCTGGTTTTCCATGCTCAGACTTCAGTGGTGCAAAAATCTTCTTGAAGCAAAACTAAACAAGCTAGTAAATTAACAAGACATTGATCCATACACAAGCTCTTTGTGATCAAAAGCAATGTGATGAACCTTTTGTTCCATATGGCTTGTAAATAGATTGGGGTTGCATTATTGAAATCAAAATGGTCTTTCCAGTTGTGAAGCTAAAAATGTTTTCTCTTCTGATCCAGTTCTCTTGGTCAAGGCCTTAAGGCAAGCACTTACTATGGGGAGATTCTATTTGCTGACTTTATTGCTGTCATTGGGTTGGTTCTATTTGCTTTGCTTATTGGCAACATACAGGTTTGTGCACTAATCTGTTTAGTCTTGTTCAAGATGATTGATTCTGCTTACAAGCTATGCTTGTGCATTTACTAATCCATTCATTCCGAAATTATCATCTTATTTATAAAAGGTCTAGTGTGCTTGTAGGATTCAGTTTTGTATCCTTCTTTTCTGGGGTGGGCCAATTGCATTATGGTGGGGCAATTGCATTATGGTGTGGCTTGTTCATTTAAAGTTGTCATTGATCTTTGGCTTCTCTTTTTATTATAAGCCAGTGGCCTCTAGGCCAGATAAAAGGGCTTTACCCTGAGGCAATCCCTCACCTTGGAACAGGAGGTCCATTGTTCTAACCAATTAATAATTCATTAAGCATAGATGAATGTAGTGTTGATTAGTCCAACATAAAATAACAAACGGGATCGATATGCTTTCTTATGTTGTTACAATGTGATATTTGTTTGTTTAAAATCCACCTTGCATATCACCTGCCAATACATAGATGAAGTATGACCTTTAGTCTAGTCATCAAAATACTTTCCCCATTATAGGATTCATGAGCTAATATAGTGGTTCAACTGTTTCTACTATTACAGAAATACTTGCAGTCGTTTTCAAACCTTACTCTCAGAGTGGAGGAGATGAAAGAAAAAAGGCGAGAAGCAGAGGAGCTCATGTCACATGTTTCCCTCCCTGAGCAGTTGAGGGAGCGAGTTAGAAGACACAAACAGTATAAATGGAAGATAACTAGGGGTGTTGAGTTGAATTCCTTCGTCAGAGACCTTCCTCGAGATCTGAGGAGGGACATAAAACGTCATCTTTGCTTGTTTTCACTAAGGAGAGTGAGTGATACATCTTTGCGTTATCTTTGCTTGTTTTGCAGAAGCTGAGGGTATTCATGAAAACAGCCGCTCTACTCTTTAGGGTAGAGAGGTCAGGTCTGCATACACCTTACCCTACCTAGACCCCACTTTCAGATGGGATATACTGTGTTGGTTTGGTTTGGTTTGGTTTGGTTTAGAGTGGGTGATACATCTAGTTTACAGTAATTCACTTTGTGGGTTGTCTCCTAGTCCTTTAATGATTTCTGCAGATGCAAAGATAGAACTTCCCTTAATTTGGAAATTCGTTACGCATGCATGGAGTATATCCGAAGTGCAAAACAATTTATGTAGAATTTGAGAAACTACTGGGCTCGTGCCAAGTGTTCTTGTTTTCAAAGATGAGGATAATGTGTGTTTGGTAGCATTAGTGACTATTTAAATTAATGTTTGGTTAAAGCAGGATTCAACTTTTTACGCAGGTACCTCTTTTTGAGCAAATGGACGAACATTTGTTGGATGCTATGTGTGATGGTCTGAAGCCAGTTCTTTACACAGAGACTAGCCGCATAATCGTAGAGGGAGATCCGGTACCTGAAATGCTCTTCATTACACGTGGTGAGGTACTAAGTGTAACAACTGATGGTGGAAGGACTGGCTTCTTCAACTCTATTACACTCCGGGCTGGTGACTTCTGTGGAGAAGAGCTTCTCACGTGGGCTTTGGATCCTACAACTCCAATACTTCCCTTCTCAACTAGAACGGTGCAAGCAGTTACAGATGTTCAAGCTTTTGCTCTAGAGGCTGATAAACTGATGTCCGTGGCATCCCAGTTTAGGCGTCTCCACAGCAGGAGTCTCCAACATACTTTTAGGTAATCACAAAGTTAAATATTTCCATTCTTGGTATTCTATGCAGGTTGATAAATGTTGGAGTGCCACATCGGCTAATCTCTTCCATATATGTTGGAAACACTTCTCTCCTCAAGGGCTATGTTGGAGAATAATCTAATGGGGTTCCACATATTTTCACATGGTATCAGACCCAAGGTCTACCACCTTAGGGACTCAGCACGCTGGGGCAATTTGTCTCGTTCTAGCCCCCTGTAGACACTCTGGGACAATTTGTCGGTTTAGCGTCCATTGAAGGGGGTTGTAGAGTCCCAAATCACCTAGGCGTGGACCATTTCTTTATATGTTGGAAGCTCTCTACTCTCCTCAAGGGCTCTTTCGGAGAGCAAGGGTTCCACATTCTCACAATAAATATATTTAACGTAAATTAATCCCTATATGCTGGGACTCTCACAATTGCTCTTCCAAAAGACTATGTTTTGTTGCTTTCAATTTCAAACCTATTAGTTTTCACATTCAAATTTGATATGGATTTTATTGCAAACTTTAAACCAACATCATTTAAATGTAGTTGTTTTGTAGTTCAAGTATTCTTGCAAAGTTTTTCAATTTGCATATAATATTTGAGATACAGAGTAAAAATGTTTTTTTGCCTGAAACAGAGGTAGCAGTATTGGCTATAAGTTCATTGCATGACCTATATAATACACAATTTCTACTTCTTTATGGCTGGAATAATAGTTTTGTTTTGTATTCATTTTCAGATTCTACTCACAGCAGTGGAGGACATGGGCAGCCTGCTACATACAGTCTGTGTGGCGTAGACATCGTAGAAGGAAGCAGCTAAAAACCTTGAAGGAGCAAGATAGGAGACTGCAGGATGCCTTGGCCACCAGCAGGGAAACCTCCACCCTCAGCATTGGTGCCTCCATCAATGTGCTCAGATTTTCCTCCAATGCATTACGTTTCTTGAGGCGGAAACATATATATAATGGAGAAATATCAACAACTAAGTTTCAGCTCCTGCTCCCGCTGAAGCCAGTCCAGCCTGATTTTGATAATGACACCACAACCTTTACCTCTAGGTAAAGTTAAATTTCTCGTCATATGTTCTTATAGTTTTTTGGAGTATACTGTGAAATATGTTGTGCTTATTTATAGATAGGTATTTTTAGATGCCTAAATGACTTTAGAGTGGTGAAGCAACTTGTTGGTGCCATTGCTAATCAATTAGGAAGAACTGATCAATCACTTTATTGCCTTACTTTGATAGAATAGTTAGGATTTTAATTGCTCAATTCTTCTGTGTCCTTCTAGCAAGATGATGAGAGAACAATTATAAATTATGGCATTGATGATTTGTAGGAAATAACCATCTTTCTAATAGTTAATCGAGAACTAAGCATAATTAGTCGACTGTAAGCGTAATATTATTACCTAACCACAACAGAACCAACACATGAACACAGTAAATAGTGAATAATGCCACATTATGGGCACAATTCTAACATTCTTTCACTTAGCCTTGTAACTATCTACTTAGGCGTTCAATAAATTGGCCAAACGTTTATCTAATTAATAACATCACGACTATACAAAAACATGAGGACTAATATATATACAACCTAACATGCCACAAACGACATGAGATCCCCTTTAGTTATGCGTTCGACACTATCACTAAGCCAACGATCAAAGAAGTCCAATATGGCTATGGATGTAATTTTGATAATGGTTACATTACTTTATGTTAACAATGTCAAATTAGAAGGACGAATATTACAATAATGTGAAATAGCTCAATAAAGTACTCTAAAAGTAATTATCATGAGAAGATATAGTATACATCATGACATTACATAGAATTACTGTGTAAGGCCATTCAAACAACATGCTCAAGGAATGCTTTAGGTTGCAGCCCTTGGTACTTACAAAAATATGACAAATACATAGCAAGAATATTGAAGAATGCTTTGAGATAGTGGAGAGTTTGAGAGAAATGTGTGAAAATGCACAACACATGCTATTTCTATCTATACTAAATCACAACAAATCAATTTTCCAACAAATCCTGTCAAAGTAGCTGTTAGAAGGGGCAAAAAGTCATCTTTAAAGTAAAAAAGGAAGACAAAAAATAGCTGTTAAGATCAAAAAGTAGCCGTTGGCCGGTTCTTGACCAGTCCCAATCAGTTCAAAATCCGGTTCTTTTTTTAGTCCAAAATCAGTCCTTTGACTGGTCGAAAACCGATAATGTGTATTTTTCATGTGGTATTTATTGACAACTCTTTCTAAGTACCCCTTTTGCGATATATCCCTAACTTCCGATGGTTGATGTAGGTGAATTTCAATGCCAATATCATAAGATGTTTCAACGAGATCTTTCATTTCAGAGTTTCTAAATTGGAAACGATTGGTCTCAAGCATGTCTTTATCATTACTAGCATTTAGGACGTCCTCAACATATAACACTAGTATATCAGACTTGTTCTCGCTTTAGATACCATTATCTAGACACCTATTTTAACCCGTAAATAGACACCTAGAGCCTTATTTAACTACTGCAACCGACCTGCTATTAGGCCACTTGCCAGAACTTTTTGATTTTTGTTTCTCTCATGTCTCGGGTGAATGACGACCATCATGGTTTGTTGGTGATTTTAGTGTCACCTGCTTCATTTGGTGTAATGGGTAAATATACGAGAGCTAAAGGGGATCTTTACTTAGTTTTTTTATGCAAGTGAGGAGGTGCGGAGCGCACACTTGTATAAGACTAGATTGATCTCAGTACGATCAAAAGGCGGGGGTCAAGGGGGCCTTTGAAATACTTGCAGGGTCCAGGGGCAGCGCCCTTGGCGGGGTCCAAGGATTTGGAATATTTAGATTCGTCTTTTGGCTGGAATATAAGGATTTGGAATATTCAAAACCTGCAGTAACATAATCTAATTTTTGTGATTAAGAAATTAGATTGTTCCTTCTTGGATTATCCCATATGAGAATTTCGTGCAACCCAAGGCTATAAGGTCGAAATATCTGATTCGGCAAGTGATATACAAGATCCAAGCAAAAATCCAAGCAATTGTGATTTCAGAAAACCAACCTATTGTTCATTTACCCCAACATGGTTCTAGTATGAATCTAACAAGAGATGATTAACATTCATTAATTGATCATTATTTCTTTAATTAAATATATAATTTTGGGTTCAATTCGCTCTAATTGATACAAAGATACAAAGATAATACACCAATTCTGCATTTTATTTCTAAACGAAGTAGCTATAAAACAATAATTTGTATTATTGCAGGATACACAAATATTTATTCACATAAAGCCATAATTTCATAAGTACATGAATTGATGCTTGTTGTTCCTATAATCCATCTTGCTGCACCACCTCCGTACCTAATTCATCGATCCTGCAAATAATGTACATCTTTAGTATGTTTATATATAAAATACATGTGTTTACATGCGTGCACACATAGACATTGTAATATATAATCATGCGTGTAGCGATGGCATCTAGGTCAGACACAGGACCAGATGGAACCGGTCCAGAGCAGAACCGACCCGTTAACTCATTTGGACATCTTTAGCGTGTGTATGTGTACATGCATTGAAAGAAATATGTAATGCACATTTCGTCAATGGGAGAAAGAGAGAACTACTTTTTGCAATCGTAGTCATGACCGATGGGAGGAAATTTTAGATCAACACCACATTTCTTAGGTAGAAGAGGGAGTCGTTTTGGATTGTAACTGATCAATCTCGTCGCTTGTTTCACACAATTGCAAATAGCCATGCGATCGGACTTGGTTTTCTCCATCGCTTTGATGCTCTCGACTGCGGAGCAACAAAGACTTGATGGCTCTTGACCGTTTATGTAACCCAAGCATGGTGCCAACATGGGCATGACCCATGTACATGATGGGGCCGCATACACCACCGGTCTCCGTGAAACCAATAGTAAACCAATTGCAACTGACCACAGTAAGCGAAAGCAATCCATTCTTTGAAGATAGGTTTTCCAAAATTGTCTTGTATAAAAAACCGTTATCTTGGATGGTATATGTATTGTAAGCAATTTATATTCCAATATGTGATGAAAACCTTCATGCGCTTCGTGTGTTCTCGTTAGTCACACTTTCGTATAAAACACCCAACCCATTCCGTTAGTTTAGTGGAAAAAGAATACGCCAAGACTCTTTTCTTTTATATCAAAATTTGGGTAAAAAAATTATTTTAGTAAAAACAAAATAAACGAATAAAATCAAATATGTAACAAGATATTTAAATCTAATAGTTGCAACGAAGTTATATATATAGATAATAAAATCAATTATCTATGATATTTGTCTTTTTAATTATTTTACAGGGACGAACTATATTATAGTTAAATAGATGAATCATGAATGTAATGAAATGTAATACGGTCTTGTTCTCATTGAATTTTATAAATTAATGTTGTGTAAATTAATGTTGTGTTTGACAACACTAAATTAATTTATTAGCTAATTTATTTTTTCCATTTATTCAAAAGCCATGTTGTTACCATTTTTTCCAATTATATCACCAACTAATATTAGTTATTATTTATTATTGCGAATTATTAATAAATATTAATATTAATTACAAATTATTCATTACTTAAAATTATTATTAACCATACTTATTATTTTTATATTTTATAATCGATTTTAATAAAATGTTTAATTTAATTATGAATTATGATTTTCGAAGAATTATTAATTAATAACCAAAATTTTGTTTTTATTCATCTTATAATCTTATATGTAATAGTTTTTTAAAACCATTACTTAATGTAAATATTTTCTAAAATTCTTGTTGATCACACAAAAATCCAGATATATGATATTATTGAAATTAGATTAATTAACACATTCTATTTATTTAACTTCTTTTTGTTATTTGATTTGTATTAGTTAACATCAGTGTTAAAAAAAGAAGCGCCAAACGTATCTCTGCCATTACGATAAGACCTATAACGTTTTTGTAAGACGTGCTTGCGACGTCTTAAGGCACGCCATGGGCGTGAGTTTTTTTTTTGTAAGGCCAGACTTCTAAAAAAATATTTTTTAAAATTTATTTAGAATTTGTATTTTCACATCTTTAATTTTAAATTTTTATAGATTTATTTAATCATATCACTTACAGTATCATGACTTCATATACATTATGGACTTACGGTTAAAATGATGTTGTAAAATTACCCCTCTATTGAATATTAAATCAATGACTATATTTATAATAATAATAATCTATATGATATTTCTTCTTTTAATGTTAATGTAGTATTTTTAATATCATCTAATTGAATAACATATAAAAAACATATATGTATATATAGTTCTATATATGACATATAAATTTGTCGTCTTGTGTCACGACCGGAAAAATATCACATCCTTGCCGTGACATGTAAAGCTTGAGGCTTGACCTCGCCGTCCTGTCATGCCTCACGCTATTTTGAACCGTGGTTAACATATTATATTATTAGTTATTTGTTTTTAAAATAAATAAAATGTTAGAATTAACTAATGTTTTAAAATTTTATCTTCAGCCGGGATAAATTGTACGGAAATACAACGTACTTTAGTTTTATTCCTACATTGGGTAACGTACTTTTAAGACTTTCATTTTGGTACCTGAAATGTGAAATCTCAAACTTTTAAGTAACTAGTTCACCTAATAACATACAAATGCCGACTTGGTCCTTGTCTCGCTCTTATCGGATAAGATTCTTGGTCCTTACCATATTCATCCGGTGAGGTAATGTTATTTGTTAAGCACTTACCCAAGTAAGCGTTTGATAAACGGCCACTAAGTTTTGATGGATCACCGGCATAAATAACCGAATGATCAAAATTTGAAGTTATTTACAGTTAACAACTCCCAACTTAATCAGGAGTCATAAGTTGAGGTCATCTTAGAACTACAACAATCTTTCAATGAAAGTATGAATTAGTTCCAAGAATATGAACATGCTAATAAGCCCTAAGTTATAAACGAGCAGTCAAGCATGGTATTAAGGAGCTGTATACTTAACACTAAGCGCTTACCAATTCAATTACCTTACCGAGTGAACATAACAAGAACCAAAAATCTTACCTTGTAAGCGCTTAAGAGTTACAAACGCTTACCAATTATCCAATTTGATGACCGAGAATGTTACCCCACAAGGTAAGTGAGTGGTGACTCTTTGCCAATAAACATGCAGTAGGTAAACATTTATTAAACGACCCCTAAGTACATAAAAAGGTTGGATTAAAGATGAAAACACCTCCATTTTTATGTTTTTAGTATAGGGTTGAAGAGATCTTTGACGGATAATATTCTTCAATCCTTTAATTAGACACCCCAACAATTTGAAAAACGTTGCCTCCAAGGAGACTAAACATTTATTTGGAGTCGAGTGTGCTTCAAAATGGAATTCCCGTGCTTCATGAGCTTAACAACAAATTCGATACCCCTGCGTGGTGTGTAAGGAACAAATTGAATCAGTGGAGCATTGCTTGCTTGGCTGCAAGCATGCCTCGAAGCTATGGAAACCCATCTTCATTTGGTGGCACATCGAAAGCAATCTACCTACCTTCTTTCACAAGCTGCTCAACTTTGATGGAGGAAAACAAATCTTGGATTCGTTCAAGAGGTAATTTAATTTGGATTGTGACTAACTTGCTTTGGATGTTTAGAAACTCTCAGATCTTTAAGAGGTTAATTCAAACATTGATCTCTTGGGTGACATCCGGTTCCAACATTTCAATTGGATTTCCTTGAGGTGAGGTGCAACTGTTTATCGGTTTCTCGGGTTTCTTGGTTCGCACCCTTTTCACGACGCTCATTTGAGCATTCTTTTTTCCGACTTGGATTCTCGTTTTGGTTTTAGTCTGTTGCTCATTTTTGTTTTTTCCTAGTCTTTTTCTGTTTCGGTTTCCTGGTGGGTCTTGGAATGTTTTCCATTTCTCGTGGACCCCCTTTTCGGTATTTCCTCATTTCTTAATAAAATTTGTCTAGTAAAAAAATCAAATAGATAATATAAATCAATTAAAATAATTATTTAATTCAGTCGGAAATAAAGAAAACATGCAGCGACCTTTCAAACTTTCCAAAACTGAGTCAAATCTCAATAAGTCAAATTTTTATATATAAAATAGTCATTTCACGGAATTGATTTCACTTTTTAGTCATTTTGGTCACATTTGGTACACATATATGATTAGACATGACAGAACTAAACATGACCGGAGGCTAGGACTGGACATGACTGGAGAAGACTAGGTGAGACAATGTATGTCCGTGTTTGGTACGACCAGGACATTCTTTTTTGTATGAATGCAATTTTTGTACCTTGTTACAAACTTGTTTGTTTTTATAGCCACGGTTTGAATTTGTTAAACGTTTGAGGCATTCCATAACAATAAACTAAGGCAAAAGCGAACGGCACATCCGTAGCGGAAAGTCAGATTCGTAACAAATAAATCGTAGCTAATCAGTTGGTCGTAATTCTTTTTTTTAGCAAAAAGATGGTTTATACGTTATACTATTTTCCTCTTTTCAAGTAAAAGTTCATCGAAAACCAATGAATTTGCTAGGGAACACATTTGCTACAGATTAGTTAGAGAATGTATTTGCTACGGTTCAGTTAGGATCATACATGCATCATAAAAATGTGAGTAAAAATTAAAAAAAAAATGGTTTTGTAGCTAGTCCGTCGCTGATCTGTATCCGTACCAAATTATTTATCGCGTTCAATCCAATGTTTGAATATTGTATATTATTTATTAAAAACAAATAAAAAATAATCATATTATTCCCATATACACAAATATTTATTCAAATTACAACCATAATTAATTCCATAACCACATTGACCGCATGGTATCTTATAATCCAGCTTGATGCTTGTAACACCTCCATATTATACCTATTCCATCCTGCACCACATCACATCACATATTATTTTACTACCTATACACAAACATAAATATATATACATACATACATATATGGTTGAGTTTTGGCGATAATGAAAGTTATAATGAGAAGAATAAGAAGAGATCTCCACATTTGGATCAACTCTAATTGAATATTAACACTAAGGAGATGCACTGGATCAATTCCCGTGATAAGTGCAATTCATGAGATGAGACGAGATTAAAAGTGATCAAGGGTCCATATCCTTTCTTATACTTATCATCTTAATTCGTATTCTCACACGATCCTTCATGCATACATATTATACGTATAAACTAATAACAAATGATAGTTGCACAAGTTATAACGAGATATGATGGAGATGAAGAGAAAACTACTTTTTGCAGTCGAAGTCCTTAGAAATCGGAGGATAATTTAAGTCGATGCCACATCTCTTATCGAGTAGAGGGAATTGCTTTGGATCATAAAGGACCAATCTCGTCAAGATTTCCTTCGCACAGTTGCAGATTGCAACACGATCTTCGGTGGTTTTCCCCATCTCCTTTATGACCCTGACTCCCGTGCAACAAAGAATCGAAGGCTGTAGAACTAGACCCATAAAGAACGGCACACATGGTACCAATTCGGGAATGATTTGTCTGCACGAAGGGGGTGCAACCACCATCGGTCCAGATAGGAAACAATAAATAGCAACAACGGATAGTATATGAATGCGATCCATTCTTCGTTAACAAAAATAAAAGTCAATTCGATGTTGATACCCTTAATTATATATCTGGATGGGAATATATGTTAACGGATTCCATCATGTACTTTGTGTGTTTTCATTTTGGAAGTGTCGTATACAAAAACTTAAACGATGTTGTTAAAATTTAATTAGTGTCTTAATGTTGGATTAAAAACGAAAACACCTCCAATTTTTATGTTTTCTTTCGATATATGGTGGATAATAATCTTGAATCCTTTAATTAGACACTCCAATAATTTGAAACAAGATTAATTAAATTATAGTATTTTGGAAGCTAACGTGGCATTGCAAGTGTCAAACATGATTTTGGTTATATGACATTTTTTTATTAATCTGGATATCCAACCCGCTATGTGAGCCGACTAATTTCAGGACGGCCACCTGTTTTGCAGATAGCCCGGAGTCACTGCATTTGAAACTTCGTGGCCATAAAGAGATTTTTATTCATCTTTGGATTTGAACATGAGACCTCCTGATACTTTTGATCTTCGGAGTCAAGCTCAAACCAATCAGGCACCACCTTTGTGGTTATTATGTGACCATTTGCAATACACTTTGAAAGGTCGCTCCATATTTTGTTTATTTCCGACTGATTTCTAAACGCAAAACATATTTTACAAAAATAATTGAATCCTCTATCAAATATCACATAATTTTTTCTGTCCAAAGCTTCCGCATGTTGTTTATAAGACTAATTAAATTATAGTATTTTTTTAATTATATTTAAAACACAGTATCAAGGCCAGACCTACGTTGATGTTAGCAGGTCCCGTGTATGTGTTCAACCTTAATTTGTAAGAATGAATTTCTTTTAGTTACTCAAAAGTGCACCCGCTAAAATTTGAGGTGTATTCCAAGATATTAGAGTTCTTGAAAAGTTAAAAGATGCACGGTGTATTGAAACTTTAAGAAAAATTGAATGAAATTTTTTATATAATTGATAGTAGTTTGAAAAAAACCCGATTCATATAAAGGAGAAATTATGTTTTATTCGGTTTGGAAGATCCTTATTATCAATTGGTGAAAACATGATGAATATTATTGCAACAACAACAGTTGTGGAGGTAGAAATATTGGTAATTTGTGAACGATGGTGCTTAGGGAGGACGTGAAGATGGTGGATGGCTAGTGGTGGTCGACAGTGATGGAGGAGATAGTTGTGGCCTATGTGGTGGAGGTAGGTGTGATGGTGCATAGTGGTGGTGGTTATGGTGGATGTGATGGTGGCAGATGATACTAGTGGTGGTGGAGATGGACACTGGTTGCTGCGGAAGAAGTTAATATGGTAGATAGTAGTAGCTGATAGTGGTGGCCAACGGTGGTAGTGGTAGGCGCCGACGGTGGTGTGCAATGGTAGTGGTAGTCGCTGATGGAGGTGAGGTGGCCCATGGTGGTGGGGATGAACGGTGTTGGTCGGTGGTCAGTGATGGTTGTGGAGGTGGTGGAGGAGGTTGTAGTAGAGGAGGGGAGGTGGCCAACAATGGTAGTGGTGGTGGTCGGCGACCGATGATGATTGTGGAGGTGGTGGAGGAGGTTGTTGTAGTAGAAGAGAATGTGGAGATGGCCAACGGTGGTAGTAGTGATGAACGGTGGTGGTCGGTGGCAGATGGTGGTTGTGGAGGTGGTGATAGACGATGGTGGTCGGCGGTTAATGGTGGTTGTGGAGGTGGTGGAGAAGGTGGCTACCTATGGTGGCGGCGGCCATAACTAGCGGTGGTGACCACTGAAACAAATACCATGTTATTGTTATATATTAAACGAGGGTTAATTAGTAATATTTTAGTTTCAGCCTCATTTTTGTCCCATTTTGTTCCACCTATTTTGGTGGAACAAGAAAAAGCTTTTTTTTATTCCACGTCCCATCTTCCCTCATTTCTTATCCCTATCCCATGTTGTACCAAACGTGAGACAGTAAATTCATGTCCTGTCCTATGTCGTGCCAACGTGGGACAATGAATTTTGTTTTATCTTGTCCCACGATCAAATGCAGCCTAAATAGCCAAAGTTTATAAAAAGAATTTTTACAAAGAAGGGTAGCTTCTGTGTAAAGTTTGTTTTCAAGCAAAAAATAATAATTAAGAAGGTACTTATACCAAGAAAAAAAACTTAAGAAAAATGGGACTTTACGTCGAAAATCCGTGTAAAGTTTATAATTATTAAAAAATTTACTACTTATTTAATTTATTTTATATCTCTCAATTTTTTTATTTTTTATTTTACACATTTATTATATTAACACGCAATCGTATATTAACTAAAATACATAAAAAACATGTTTTTTTATTTACAAATTACACGTTTATAATCATCTTGTCAATACGTTAAACATGAGTCAAAATTAAATATTTTGTATTTAATCTTATATTATTAAATATCATAAATACTTACAAGTTTTTAAAACTTATATTTTCTACCCTTATGGTTATTTATTTAATCTATAATTATAAGGGTATAAAATTCAATTATTAAAAATAGTTCCTAAGTTTTATAATATTTAATAATATAATATTTAATTCAAAAATATTTAATATTGGGTTAGTCTTGAACGTATTGATGAGAATGTTATAATGATGTAATTTATAAAAAAAACACATTTTTTTATGTATTTTAATAAATGTATGATTATGTGTTATAATATAATAAATGTAAAAAATAAAAAAGTAAGACTATAAAAGTGTAAAATGTAAAAATAGTTTATACAAATACGAGAGTTTAGACATTTTTCATTTTCTAGGTAAATAATTTTTACACTTTACACCCTTATAATTAATTCCTTAATTTATTTTATATTCCTTATTTTTTTTTCAATTTTTTTTACATATAATCGTATATTTACTAAAATACATAAAAAATAAGTTTCTTTTGTACAAATTACATCATTATAATCATCTCGTCAATATGTTGTATGAATTATTTTTAAAACATACATTTTCGACCCTTATGGTTATTTATTTAATTTTTTTATTTTACATCTTTATTATATTAATACACATAATCTGTAACTATAAGGGTATAAAATGTAAGTACTAAAAATAATTCGTAAGCTTTATAACATTTAATAGTATAAGATTAATATATATATATATATATATATATATTTGGCTTATTTTAAACGTATCTACGAGATGATCCCAATTGTATAATTTGTAAACAAAAAAAAATAAACGTATTTTTTCATGTATTTTAGTTAATATACAATTATATGTGCTAATATAATAAACGTGTAAAATGAAAAAAATAAGAGATAAAATAAACTAAATAACTAATTATAGGAGTGTAAAGTGTAATTTCTTTTTACTAGATTAAAAACTTTGCGCACCCTAAAGTTTAAATGTAAAGTTTGGCTATTTAGAGAATGGTTATTAAAGTGGCTAAAAAGTGAAATCAATTTTGTGAAAAAAACAACCCCCGTTCCTTTTCGCTACCAGACGCCAACCATCGCCAGTGTCCATTGCTTCCGCCCATCGGGCACCCACGATTGTTCCTACTTCCTCTCAGCTTCTCTCGAGTCTCTGTCTCTCTCAATCTCTCAAGGTTTACTTCCAAAACCTAACCTTCAATTAACATTTTGCTCTAATTTTTTTCTTGATGATTTTACACTAAATTTACAATGTTATACAAGTAATCAATTACAATCATAATTTATGAAATATGTTTACATGATGATTTCATTGATTTATTTGTTTGTTATGAGTTATTATATTTGCCTTTACAAAAAAAAACCAAATATTCTCTTGAAATCAACCCAAAACCCGGAAAATTCTCTTGTAATCAATCAAAAAAACTGAAAAATTATCTCGAAACTAACCTAAAAAATCCCTCGACATCAACCAAAAACTTAAAAAATCTATTGAAATCAACCAAAAAGCTTAAAAGATCTTGAAAAGACGGAATTCGGCTAAAAATCATCAAACGGCTTTACATCCATTTAAAGGTGCACGCAGTTTGACAAAAATCTTAGATCCACCACTACATAATATGTTATATCTTTACATAAAAAACGTAATACGTTTTCCATATTGGAGGTTTATGAGAGTAGGCACCCAAAATAGAACGAACCAAATTAAATGCATTCTATTTTGATAAAACTTGACCTAAATTTTAATTTTTGTACCTTGTTACCAATATTGATGACATTAATGCAATTTTTGTACCTTGTTACAAACTTTATAGCTACGGTTTGAATTTGTTAAATGTTTGAGGCATTTCATTACAAGAAACCAAGGTAAAAGCGAAAGGCACGTCCGTAGCTAAAAGTCAAATTCGTAAATCATAACAAATAAGTCGTAGCTAATCAGTTGGTCACAATTTTTTAAAATTATTTTCCTATTTTTAAGTAAAAGTTCATCGGAAAACGATGAATTTGCTATGGATTAATTAGGTAATGTATTTGCTACGATTTAGCTAGGATCATACATGCATCACAAAAATGTGAGTAAAAAAATTAAAAAAATGGGTTTGTGGATAATCTGTCGACGAATCAGTCCATACCAAGTTATTTATCGATGACGCCCAACTTTCTAGTATTGTTGTTACCAAATTAAATTGTAAGCATTTTTGCCTGTGGCCAAAAACATCTATTCAATCCAATATTTGAATATTGTATATTATTTATTAAATACATATAAAATATAATCATATTATTCCAATATACACAAATATTATTCAAATTACAACCATGATTAATTCCATAACCACATTGGTATTTTATAATCCAGCTTGATGCTTGTAACACCTCCATATTATACCTATTCCATCCTGCATCACATCACATATTAGTTTAGTACCTATACACAAACATATATATATATATATATGGTTGAGTTCTGATGAGAGTGAAAGTTATAGTGAGAAGGGTAAGAAGAGATCTCCATCTTTAGATCAATTCTAATTGAATATTAACACTCATGAGATGCACCGGATCACTTCCCGTGATAAGTGCAATTCATGAGATGAGATAAGATTAGAAGTGA